GAAGGTTTCTTTGTGAGTGTGGGGGAAATGAAAACATAACTAAAAAGAGAATCTAACTAAAGTGAGTGTGTGGGAAAACTGCGAAAATAACAAAAATCGTTCAATCGCCATTATTTTTGACAGCATATTTTCTGTTTAATTAATTGACAGCTTTGGATATTAGTCATCCTCTATTTAAACACAGAATGTTTTTTCGAAAGGCCAGTGACAGTGCAATTTTCCTTACACAGCTTTAAATAATGTAAGTTTAGATTCTACTTGCAGGAGCCATTGACTAGGATTGCATGGGAAATTCATTCTTTTGTGAGTCAGGTGAGACTAACAACGAAGGATACTAATGAATAACCATTGTGGTAGTGGTGCAGATTTTTAGAAAGATTCCTGTATTGATTTACCTATCCTTTTTCCTTTTGTACTCATATGAACGTGCTAACTGCTTGGTGTCCTCCAAGTCACATTGTTCTCTTAGGTGCTTGTTGAAGAATAAAAGGGAGAGGAAAACATACATTGTGTGAATGTCTGAGAAATTGCTTTTAAATACTCCATTTCTCTTCCCCTTTCATTTTCTCTAGGTTCTGGAAAATCCTTCTCAATGATGGGCAATGCAGAGCAGCTGGGCCTGATTCCACGGCTGTGTTGTGCTTTATTTCAGAGAATTTCTGTAGAAGAAAATGAATCTCAGACCTTTAAAGTTGAAGTATCCTATATGGAAATCTATAATGAGAAGGTCAGAGATCTGTTAGATCCTAAAGGGTAAGTAGGGTTTTTTTAATATTAGTTGAAACTGCAACTTAGAACTAATCACTTTGGGAAGGGTTTTAAGAAGCTTTTGTATGAAACTTGTTCAGGAAGGATCACATGCTCAAAATGCTAAAGTGAACAGTTCTTAAATAATTCCAAGTTTGTAAAGTGTGAACATGTTGTAACAGTTGACTTAGGTCTAGCCTATAATAGAAAACTAGCTTGACATAACACAGCCAATCAGAAGTGTGGATTTTTCACACCCCCTGAGCAATGTAGTTAGGTCAGTCTGGGTCCCTGTGTAAACAACGCTAAATTGTCAGAATAATTCTTCTGTAAATTTACCTACCATCTCTTTGGGAGGTAGATTACCTATGCCAATGGATAATACCTTCTGTATGCATACAGTGAAATGCTGCAGCTGTGTTGTTGTGTTTTCAGTGTAGACATACTCTTACTTGTATCTATTTGAAGATGGTGACTTTAAAATAGAATCTTTTAACTAGTCACTTCTTTAACTGTAGATATCCAGTCACTTTTGGATCAGCTTAATATAGCTGTTGAACAATGCACAGCATCTCTATACACATCAGCTTAGGATAGGGAAAAATGCTGCTTGAGTTAAATTGTATCATATATTTTGTTTATTTTTTTAAATCATAGGATCTGTCTCCCATTCAAGTAAGTCTTTTGGCTAAAAGAGTCTGACTGGGCCTTTACCATGGGGAAGAAGGGATAAATCTATTTAAAGTTGTTGTTTCAGAAGTGTAACCCTTGAATGCCAGCAACTTTCTCAGATTTTGTAAATTTTAAAAGACAGATGTTTTTATAGGGAAGTATTTTCTTTTTAGGAAATATAGATTCATTTTAAAGAATTGAGAACACTAAGCAGGATAAATATGATTGTAAGAGGTGGGAGAAATACAGAAAACTAAAAGGCATATCAAAATCATCTATATATTAGGGCAACTTGATTCTTCCTTATTTGTGGCTGTATGTTATATGGCAATTCCTGATATACTAGCTAACGTCATTATTTTCTAGAATGATTTAACCCACAATTTCTCTTAGCAGCTTGTGGAAGCCTTACAAGTGAAAAGGTGGCTCAATCCTGCTTCCATCATTACACATCTTGTACTGCTAATTATTTCACTAGGAGTTTTGCTTGTGATAGGAATATGGGATTAGGTCTAAAACTTGTTAAATGCCCCCCCCCATTTTACTCCTCAAAACAAAACAAAAAAATGTGTCTCTAAAAACTGGATATAAACTAATATAAGCACTTACTATACGTTACAAATTACATGTCTATTCAGCCATCTCACATAACTGGATTTCAGGGATGATCCTTGAATTTCTCTCCTATTTTGCTGTATTTAAAAGAATGAATAATTATGCAAAAACTAAAAACAAAGTAAGGATGCTTTATTTAGAGCATTATCCTTCAGTGTTTGTGTAGAATTAGACGTGAAAAACAAATGAAAACAGTTTCACGTGGCGTCCAGTCATATTGTTCAATGTCAAATGTGAAGTTTACTCTGTCAACTATAAGAGACTTAAACTGTCAGTATCTGCATTAAAAATCTCTTATGGTTCCAAAAATAACCTTGTAAATATAAATCAGTGCTGTCCTGACTTCTGAGAATGCGGATAATTAAGTGTCCTATTTAATGCATAATGTGTTCCCAAGCAGCATAAGAAGGAAAGTACAGTAGAATCTCAAAGATATGAACATGAGAGTTATGGCCTTACCTGTCAACTGGACGCCACATGAAACTGGTAGTAATCAGGCAGAAGCAGAGTCAAAAAACAAAACAGCAAATACTGTACTGCTTTGGCCCTGGGGCTCATAGCTTGAGCTATAGCAGTGGTCTCCAACATTTTAAAGCACATGATCACTTTTTGAATTTAAGTCAGTTCAGGATCTACCTCAAACCCAAATACCCATGCCTCACCCCTTTGCCAAAGCCCCACCCTCCTCATTCTGAGAAGATGGGATACAGAGGAGAGAGTCAGAGTGACATCAGCACCCCTGGCCTCTGTCTCCCCCAACCTGTGCAACAAGCAGAGGCTCCCAGAAGGCAGCTCTGAGGGTCTGGGCAGGAGCAGCAGGGCAGTGTGCGGAGGGGCAGCTGAAGTGCTGGCACTTGATAACCTCCCAGCCAGACCAGTCAGGATCACCTGTCAGAGGCTCCAAGATCTACTGGTAGATCCCGATCTACTGGTTGGTGACCACTAAGCTATAGAGTGAAGAGGGGGAGAGAGGCTCTGAGGGCATTGGGGCCCATGCCATGTCTTGGAACTCCTATGAGAGTAGTGCCTGTTTGAGCCTCAGTGCTCTCACCATAGCTAAAATCACATGCCCCAGTGTTCCCCACTTCCCTGGCTGAAACTGAGAGTAGGGCCTTGGGGTCCCCTGGCATCCCCTGAGGGGTAGAATCTGGGAACGGTGTTGCAAGGCTGAAGCCCCAAGTCCTGGTGCCCCTGTGTGTGTGTGACCAGGAGCAGTGCATGGGGCTGAAACCCTGAGCCCCAGCGTGGCACCCCCCCGCAGGTCTAAATTTCCAGCTGTAGTCTCAGTCCCCCCATGGCTGAAGTCTGTAACATCTTGTTTAGAGTTACGGAAAATGTCAGTGTGGATTTTAAAAAAGTTACATTATAATGATTAAAACCTGATTGGTAGATTAACAATAGAAATAAGCAAAATAAAGCCAGAGTTTAACTGGAAGTTGGTTTTGCTATTACTTGAACCATCTAAAAAACAATTAAACAAAATTTTAAAGATGTATCTCTAAGGGTATGTCTACACTTGCCCCCTATTTCGAAGTAGGGAGGCAAATGAAGCATACCGAAGTTGCAAATCAAGCCCGGGATTTAAATATCCCACGTTTGATTTGCATGTTGCCGGCCGGTTGCCATTTTAGAAATTCACTAGCCCAGCGTAACTGCACGCAGCAGTGAAACAGGAGCCTGGCGACCGGCCGGGAACATGCAAATCAAGCGTGGGATATTTAAATCCCGGGCTTGATTTGCAACTTTGGTATGCTTCATTTGCTTCCCTACTTCGAAGTAGGGGGCAAGTGTAGACATATCCTAAGTTCTATGGCTGATGTACTGGCACTTCAAACAATTACTTTCACTGATTTCTTTTTTAACCAATAAAGTTCATAATAATAGATTTGCCATTGGCAGGTTTTGAGTTACACCTTGCTTTTTTCCTAAGGAGTCGGCAGTCCCTTAAGGTTCGAGAGCACAAAGTATTGGGACCCTATGTAGATGGCTTGTCTCAGCTGGCTGTTACTAACTTTGAGGTAAATATAAACTGATAACAAATAAATAAGTAAAATTTCTGAAATGGGGTGACAAAGAATTTTGTACTATGTAAATCAGTATCTACTTAGATGTTTTGGTTCTTTGAGATGATTTACATACTCTAATATGTGGCTTCCTTTATTGACAGGCACAAAAATATCTGAAGACTTAGAACTATTTATTTAAATTAAAAGCTTTTGCCCGGATCTTTTTTTTTTCCATTGAAGTCCATGGAAAAATTTCTGTTGACTTCCATGGTAGCAGTGTCAGGCTTTGTTTTTGGAGATTACAAAGAATATATAGCCAGTGTGTTAAATTTGCCAATATTTCTTTATTACTTTTTCTACCCACTTGTTACAGTCTTCTTGTATTGTGCATATTAGTTGTATTAGAGTTTATCATGGCTGCAGAAGAGCCCGCTTGAGTTAGTGTGACTCTTTTGACAGGTTCCAGAGGTAGCTGTGTTAGTCTGTTTCAGCAAAAGTAACAAGGAGTGGCATCTTAAAGATTAACAATTTTATTATGAGACTTATTAGTCTTTAAGGTACCACCAGACTTTTTGTAGTTCTGACTCGTTTGAAAATTTTGTTTGTAGGTTTTAGAAAAAACAATAAAAGGTAAAACTTAAAGAAATGATGTACAAACTGTATGGAGCTTTCTTTATAAAGGACATTGAATAAAAAACCTATTTAAATATTTTAAAATAGTCAATAATCTTTATTCATATTTTTCATGTACTTCTAAATGAGGAAAGACTATTTTTTTCAGAGACTTGTATACTTCTGAGGCAGATTGCGCAATGAAAACTACCTTCTTGTTCACTTAGCTAGTACAGGCAGTCCCCGGGTTACGTACAAGATAGGGACTGTAGGTTTGTTCTTAAGTTGAATCTATATGTAAGTCAGAACTGGCGTCCAGATTCAGCCGCTGCTGAAACTGGTCAGTTTCAACAGCGGCTGAATCTGGACGCCAGTTCTGACTTACGTACAGATTCAACTTAAGAAACCCAGGCGTCCCCAAGTCAGCTGCTGCTGAAACTCATCAGCGGTTGATTCCAGGAAGCTGGGGGCAGAGCAACTCTGCCTCGGGCTTACTGTAGTCAGCTGCTGGTCAGTTTCAGCAGCGGCTGACTTGGGGACGCCTGGGGCAGAGCAGCTGGGGTGCTGCTGGGTTGCTCCAGTAGCGCCGAGG